TTCAAAGCAGGGCGGCCCGGCTCCTCCAGGTGTCAGCAGCAGCTGGCACGTTAGCTGAAGGCCTCTGGCAGGAAGGGGTGCTGAGCCAACTGCCATCAACAGGAAAACAGCACATGTGGACGATCTCCTCTCCAAGAGATTCCTTCTGGAGGCCTCAGGGCTGGGGACAAGTTCGAGTTCAGGGTGAAGGAGCTCACTGTCTGTGGGATAAGGGTCCTTGTCCCAAAGGCCAGGACAGACCTGTAGAGCCTCCTTCCTGCTCTTCCCACAGTTCTGCCAAGATTCCAGGGCCAGGTGCCCAGGACCTTCCTGGGTCAGAGCACTGGTTTGGAGATGGACATCACAGCATATGATGTTTCTGTCAGCCTCTCAGACCTCTCTGCTGCCAGTCCTCCAGACAGCGGCATCTTCCCCAGCAGAACCAGCTGTCAGTTCTGTCTGCACTTGGGACGACACTGTGAGCTGCAGAAGCTCTGTCATACTTGTGAGGAGTGCAACCTTGTCAGGCTTCTGCTTGAATTTCTCCAGCAACAAGAAGCTCACTCCTCCACAAAGCAGCCACAGCCCAGAGCTGAGAGGCTTAAAAAAAAGTCTTCCAGAGCCAAATTCCAGGTCACTGGGGCCTGCCCCTCAGAGGAAGCCCTTCACAGGTCAGGTCTCAGCCCTCACTCCTCCTCCTTTTTCTCTCCCAACCACGGGTCTCAGTGCAGTCATTGATACCGTGGTCTGCAGATGCTAGTTTATCCTCCTAAATGGACTGCACTGTCCACAGCTGGATGTATTGTCAGGTGTCACCTGGCCAGGGGAGAAGAAAGAGTTCTATGGCCTCTCTTACTCATTTTTTCATGCTTTCCTTCATTCAACAAATGTTTACTGAGTGACTGCTATGCACCCTGTGCCATTCTGGACCCTGGAGCCAAGCAACAAAGACAGTGGTGTCACCTGGTGAACAGTGAGGAGGTGGCAAAGAACTAGGGAGGCTACCCAGTGGGGCATAAAGGTTCCCCAGAGAGGTGCTGTGTAGGTTGCAACCTGAAGAATGGGTAGGCGGCAGGTAGGTGAGAAGAGGGGCCTGGAGAGCGGGAGCATTAAAGGTGGAGGCACTGGCTGATCCGAAGGGCCTGAGGAAGGAGGAAGCATTGGGAAGAACTGAAGGATCAGTGTCGCTGGAGGGTAGTGAGGATCACTGCCAGTGACCTCCAGGAGAGGAGAAAGGAGAGGGGAGGCAGAGGGTAGAACCTGTGGAGAAGAAGGGAGACTCTGTTCTAAGGGCAATGGGAAGCCCAAGAAGGGTTTTAAACAGAGCTGTAAAATAGTCAAGTTTGCATCTTAAAAAAGATTTTTCTCACCCCAGAATGGATACTCCATCAGAAGGAGGCAAGAATGATTGCGGGAAACAGGGAGGGAGGTCATCCAGCTGGCTGTCTAGGAAAAAGAGGTGGTGGTGGACGTCAGATGGTGGCCGTGGAGGAAGGTAGATGGATGCTAGAGAAATGAGCAGGGGGAGGACTGACAGGATTGATTGATTGATTGATTGATTGATGTAGGTGAGCAAATCAGGGAGTTTCCAGGATTCCCTGGCTGCTGGCTGAGCAGGATAATGGGTGGTATTGCTGTTAATAAAAGCTGAGATCCAGTTGGCTTTTCTGGCAGCCAGTCTCACTGCTTACAATCAAGAAAACCCCTTCAGCTGCAGCAGGTTTGGCTGTATGGATAGAGCATTGACCTGCGGACAAACCAAAGGGTCCATGGTTTGATTCCAGGCAGTCAAGGGCACATGCCCGGTGGATAGCTCAGTCCCCAGTGTGGAGAGTGCAGAAGGCAGCCAGTCAATGGTTCCCTCTCATCACTGATGTTTCTTTCCCTCCCTCTCTCTTCCTCTCTAAAATCAATCTACCTATATAAAAGCCTAATATGCAAATTGTCCCCAAGGGAGTTCGACCGAGAGACTGGGAGTTCAATCACTCGCTATGATGTGTGATGACCACCAGGGGAGATATGGAATGAAGGACAGCCCTGGCCGGCGGCCGAGGGAGGCCCCAGCTGGCAACCAGAAGGCCCTGATCAGCCCTGATAGCCGGCCAGGCCTAAGGACCTTACCCATGCATCAATTTCATGCACCAGGCCTTTAGTAAAAATATAAAAAAGAGAAAAAAAGAAAATCCCCTCTTCCTTTTCACACATGCTGCTGGGACCCAGCCACATGTCCCTCAGAAAGACCCTGCTGCTGTCACCTTCCAAGTTAGCCTGCTGGTCCCATCTGACTGCTATCAGTAAGCCCCCAAGGACCAAGGGTCAAGACCCCTTCTCAGAGAAACTGCCTACATTACCTGGTGGGTCTCCTGCCCTTTGCCAGCTGTGCCCTTGTTCATCACCAGCTGCCCATCTTAAAGGAAAGTGCTAATGTTCCAGTCAAGAACAGCCCGTGACAGAAGCTTCACACCAGTTCTGAGCTGGAAGGGCAGGCCCTGTTTGCAGCTTCTAGTCCCATCTGCGGCAATCGCCTGGAAGCCCTGGGGTGGCAGGGCTTATCCCAGGAGCATGCTGGTTAGCAAGAACCACCACTTCCGAAGTTAGACCGTGGCGATGGTTGCACAACTTTGTGAATATACTAAAACACAATGTATACTTTTAAAGGGTGAGCCTTATGGCATTTGAATGGTATTACAATATAAATAAATGAACAAACGGACAAAGTAGGAAGTAGTAAGTGGAGATCAATGTTATAAACAGGAGCATTGGGTCCAGGTTGATGATAAACAAGAGAAGCCAAGGAACATCTTCAAAGGCTTTGGCTCCCCTTCGCGGTTTCCTGCGTGGGGATGTTCTCAGCCTGGCACTCTTCCTTAGTCATTAACTTCAGGCCATCGGGTTCTCAGCTGTCCTGGGAGTAGGGCAGGAAGGAAAGGTCACGGGCTCTCTCCTCTGGGACTTTTCTTCTCTGCTGAGCCCGGGAGGAAAAAGCTTTGAGGTGCTCGTGGCTTTTCCTCCCTGAGCATTCTGGGAGAGCTCACCCTTCCTCTGTAGTGAGGGAGGGAGTCTCCGCTGGCCCCAGTCCACCCTACCTGCCCTCTCTCCACCTCTCTTGCCTCTCCCTCCTCATCCAGTTGGAATCTGGGCTTTGTGCCCTCTCTGTTCCTTTTTTGCTTGCCTGGGTTATCTGCAGGTTATGAGAAATGGGGTGACTACTGGTATTGGCTATGGCTCAGGACTTGTCCCAGTAGCCACTGATGGAGGGACCAGGGTGCCCTCCTGTGGTCATCAGCAGCATTGCTTCTTCCCACCTTTTGGCCTTGAATTTTTCCCAGCTAGAATCTGAATGTTCAACTCTGATAGTTGAGGCAGTTTTTTTCTTCCCAAAGAGATACATGAAAAACAGTTTGGCCTTCACATATAGATGAAAAGAAAGAAGACAAATTAGGCACAGAAACTAAGAAGTAAAGGTTAGTGTTTATACTCCATGTTAAAGAGGCAGTGTGACCTACTAGTAATGGGAAGTGAGTGGCCTGTGGAGTTGAGCAAACTCACCAGCTCTGAGACTTAGTCTGTTCACCTGTAAAGTGGAAATGATAACAACACCTCCCTCACTGTTGTGGGACAAGATGTAATTACTACAGAGCCTGCCATGAAGTAAGTGGGATACCGATTTCTATTGTTATCATTATTACAACTACAGACCAGGTGTAGGAACCATTTTCGCTCTTCAGGGAGACCTGAAACCAGAACCACCTGCCTTGAAAGACTCCACGGGCACCTCTCACATCATCTTCTCTCTAAAGCCCCTTCCTGAGATCAGCAGTGCTGGCTCTCTCTGCAGCTGAAGCAGATGCCAGTTTGGGGACCCTCTGACAGTGGGAGGTGCAGAGAGATTTAGAAAAATACCTGAGAGCCCAGCCAGTGTGGCTCAGTGATTTAACATCAACCTGTGAAGCAGAAGGTCGAGGTTTGATTTCTGGTTAGGGAACATGCCCAGGTTTTGAGTTCAGTCCCCAGGAGAGGGTGTGCAGGAGGCAGCTGATCAATGATTCTCTCTCATTGATGTTCCTATCTCTCTCTCCCTCTCCCTTCCTCTCTGAAATCAATAAAATTATATTTTAAAACAAACAAATAAAAATACACAAGAGATTGAAATAAAACTTTTTAAATGTAAAGATAAAGCCAGAGGGGCCCAGTCAGAAACAGGTTGCAGTAGATGAGTATGGCACCCTGCCTGGCACATGGAAGGAGCCCAGCGAGTGCTCATACCCTTCCTTTCCTGCCCTCTCTCTGATGGGCCCTGAGCAGAGTATGAATATGGCCTGGGTCTGAGCCCTTTCGTACTCATGTGGCTTTTCCCCCCTGGAAGGTGGGTGTGCAGTGGGAGGAACTTGAGAAAACACCAGTGGTCCACCTGTGAGAGTGGACAGCGAAAAGGAGCAGTGGCCACCACATCATGAGACGGGTTGTGCTCTTTGACCCTCTCAAGAGCAGAGCTGTGAGCCCACTTCCCTGGTCTGCCCTCCGTGTCCCAGGATGGAGGTTCGGGAGCTCTCTGGCCCTGGGGAGCTTATTAAATATCAGCACCACTTGCCAAGACCCCTTTAAACCTCTTGGCTGTTCTTTATGCCTTTTCCAATCAGCCTTATTTATTCTGACTAAATGGTCCTCGCTGCAGGATGAAAGGATTTACTGCTCAAGTATATGAAAAGAGACCTTGGCTGCATTACAATTGCACCCTCTCCTGGCTGCCCACCCTCTCCCTCCCTCCTCCATCCACCAGCTGGGGCCACAGAGACTGAACTGGGAGCCTGCCTTTGATAGCATGGACAGCTCACTATCTGTTTGGTGGCAGAGTCCAACTGATGAAGACATGAGGTGATTGGGAGGAGCTTGTTTTGGGGAACCCTCTCCCAATGTCTTATTGCCCCAAGGGAGACTAGAGTCCAGGAATGGCATTCTCTCTCTCTCTCTTTCTCTCTCTCTCACTCACACACACACATTTCCCTCTCTTTCCCCCTCAGGATTGTGCTCATGGATGATGCCATGGACTGCTTGATGTCCTTTTCAGATTTCCTCTTGGCCTTCCAGATCCAGTTTTACTACTCAGGTGAGAGTCTCCCAGGACCCCTGTGGCTCCCGTCAGACCTCCTCTCCCTCTCCTGCCTGGCTGCCCACTCCATCACTCCATCACGTGCCCGGCACACACATTTCTCTGCTGCGCTTCCTTTGTGGTATGCTTCACCCGGTCACTACAGGATGTCTAGTTCTCGTCACGGGGGAGTCACAGGTGTCATCATGCAAAACCTACTTCCTCAGCATCCTCAAGACACAGACACCACAGTCAGTAGTGCAATGACACTGCTGAAAATGACAGTGACAACCACACACACCATAGTGACCATACCTAATAAATTCACAGCTTATAAAAAACTTACTGTACCGGGCAGAGCACTAAGGACTTTAACCCTTACAACAGCCCTAAGAGATGGGGCCTTAAGAGCCAAGGTCACAGAGGCCAGTAGCCAAAGCTGCAGAGCTACTAAGTGCTGCAGCCCACACGTGGACAGAGGCTCACTCCCCCCAGTGCTCTCAGGCACTCGCTGAACCATGGCCATGGCAGTTCCACCCCTGGGCCCTGACCCCTGTGTGTGGGCACAAGGTTCCCACCCAGCTGTAAATAAGTGCACACCAGTCCTGTGTCCCACCTGCTCCCCAGAAGCACCAGCTGTGCCCTTAAATCCCTCTGGAATCAGGTGGAATAAAAATAGATCCACAAATACGAATGCACAGCAGCTCATTCAGAACATCAAATGGAACGTTGGGTTTAGAAATTGCTGACTATGCCCATAAACAAACTTATTTAAAATGGGCTCTTCCACTAAACAGAAGGCTGTCTTTGGAGCCTGGGCATGGCCTTCCTGCCAACGGGTGGCCCCAGCCAGCCCTGGCCTCATGCGGCATCACCTTCTGTCAAGCAGGGTCTGGGGCCTGGGGTCTCCCCACCTGCACTTCACAGCTCCAGGCATTTGCTCCCCATTTCTCTAAACCACTTGGGCCCTGGAGGGGGGAGGAGCAGCCATGTTGGTGAGAACCTTTTCCCCTCGCCTCCGGCCGGCCCCTCTGCTCACAGCAGCGTGGGCCCAGCATCACTACTGCACAGCGCATGCGCCCGTTGGCGGGGAGATGGGCCATAAGTCACTGCTCTCTGACTATGGCTTGATTACTAAAATTCAAAATCAGTTTCAAATGTTGAATAAATTCACAGCTTGCAGGCTTCCTCTCCCACACTGGTATTCCAACGTGCATTCTCGAGTCACAGAGGCAGGAGGCCTCGGAAGGTGGGGCTTACCCGTGGGAGCGTGTACACCTTCCCTTTCTACAAAAACATTTATAGCCATTCAATAAATGCCAGGCCCAGAGCCAGGTGCTGGGACAGGGGTTGACAAGGCATGGTGCCGGCCTTGGTTTGAGGAGCTCCCCTGCCAGCAAGAAGACAGAGTCCACAAGCAATTACTCAGGAAACCCAGCACTGATAATGCTACGAGGAACACAGTATACAAGTATGTGATGGGGAACCTCACCTGGTCAGGGACAGATGCCCAAAAGAGGGGACATTTGAACTGAAACACACATTAGTGTCACCTCACATGTGTGTGGTGGTCACGCCATGCCCTGCGCACTGACACTCGTGTGGAGCTAGGCTAACAGAAGCGGACACGGTGACGGGATGAAGGATGTTCTCCCTGCCTGACCTGTGCCTCCTCCATCCACGGTACCCAGAATTCCTGGAGAGTGTGGCTGCCATCTACCAGGACCTACTGTCAGGCAAGAACCCCAACACAGTGATTGTGCCAACATCGTCCAGTGGGCAGCACCGCCAGCGCCCCAACTTGGGCGAGGTCAGCATACTGGAGGGGGTCGAGGCATCCCTCTTCTACCAGCGCCTGGAGAGCCTGTGTGACCGGCACAAGTACAGGTAGGAAGTCCATGTGGACCCCCCCACCCCCACTGGTCCTGGGACTGACCTCCTGCAGGCTATTCCATTGGCCCCGGGCTCCTAGGGTCCTGTGGTCACAGTATAAGCTAGAACAGTGCCATCTGCCCCCAGACCAGGTTGCTCTCTCAGGAGGATTGCTTTCACTTGGGCAAGACCACCGCAGACGTCCAGCCTGGTCCCTCCCCCTTCCTGGGACACAGACTGGCCTTGACGTTTTAGAGAAGGAAAACACGTGCTGTCTAACAAATAACAAATTCATTGTATAGGAAGGGAGGGTAAAGCTGTTCTGTGTGGTTCAAAGTCCACTGGAGACAGCACACTTTTGGTTTCTCTCTAAAAGAGGCTGTTACCTATTGCCATATCTCCCTCTCTTCTCCTCCCCCAGTAAAAAGCACCAACTGGTGAACATGCTAGCCCTTCATGTTCACAGTCCAGGCCTTGCTCCCTGCTCCTGGACATCTGCCAGGCTCCCCAGGGTCTTAGGGTCCCCAGGACACTCAGGAGTCTCGGCTTTGGGCATCCTCCTAAGCCTGAAGGTGTGAAGAGATGACACGCAGACTGCCTCATCTTTGAATCTGGCATGTATTTCCTCTCCCAGCTGCCCACCCCCAGCGCTTGTCAAAGAGGTTCTAAGCAACGTTCAGAGACTGACCTTCTACGGATTCCTTGTGGCTCTCTCCAAGCACCGTGGAATCAGCCAAGCCCTCGGTAAGCCGATACAAAGCCCCACAGAAACTGGCCTCCCCTGGCCAACTGGTCCATGAGGAGGGGCATCACCATCTTCACCTTGATTTCAGGGCCAGACTCTGAGGCCCAGGGAGCCAGAATGGGCACAAGACTGTGCCCTCCCAGCCTCTCAGGCTCCCATGGGGAGGGAGGGCTTCCCTGCCCGCAGCCCTGCCCCAACAAGAAGCACCTCTCCATGGCAGCCCCTCCCCAGAGAACCCCCGTTCTATTTTAGGGGGTGGCCTGGCAGACATAAGGCTGTCTACTCAGGAGCTCTGGATGATTACATATCAGGGAGACTTGAATCCCATTTATAAACAGGGCAAAGGTGTGTCGGGCGGGGGGGGGGGGGGGCCTTTTCCCCAGTTAGGAAAAAAAACGTGATTAATCTGAAAAGACAAAGGGAGAGGGGAGGGAGCCTGTACTGGCCATTTTTATTTTCTGTCCACCATTTTATTCTCACTGGTTGGCCTTCACAACACTCTCCTCCCCTCCACTCCCCACCCTCTCACTCTTCACTCCCCTCCCCACTCTCTCACTCCCCCCCATCCCTCCCAGTCCTCTCCCACACCCTTAGCCCTCCTAGGGAAAGACAGCCTTCAGATCACCATCCAGCAGAGTTTGAGGGGTTCTTTCTCTTTAAATATATTTTTATTTTTTAAATATATTTTATTAATTTTTAGAGGGAGAGGGAGATAGAAGCATCAATGAGAATCATTGATCGGCTGCCTCTTGCACATCCCCTACTGGAGATCAAGCCCGCAACCCTGGCATGTGCCCTGACCAGGAATTGAACCATGACCTCCTGCTTCCTAGGCATTCAACCCCTAGACATTCAACCCGAGGCATGCCAGCCAGGATTCAGTCTGACAGGAGCCTGATTGAAGGACCCGCAGATTAAGTTTTGTGACCCCCTCCCCCCATTATCTCCTAGGAGCTTTGCCTGACAAAGCGGACCTGATGCATGACCCAGCCATGGATGAGGAGCTGGACCGACTGTAAGTGTCAGATGGGAAGATGCTGCCCCCTTGTGGGGGCAAATCTGTCGGACATGGCAGTGCCCCATCGGGGTCAGTGTTTACCCATAACATCCCCATCAGTCAGGGAAGGGCTTAGGGGCCAGCAGAGCCTAAGGTAGCCTCTCCTTGAATCCCTTGGGAATACAGCCCCTGGTTTCATCCAAATGCAACTGTGTGAGGTCCTGGTCTCTGGACAGGAGGCACCTTGCTGCCCTCTGGGCTTCTTCCCTCCTTCAGGCTGGCCCAGATTCCAGACCTGGTCAGTGCCAGTCCAGAGGCCAGCTGCCTGCCTTCCCGGACCCCTCACCGGGCTGCCTTTTCCTGGAGGCCTCTCCATCACGCCCGCAAAGTGGATGCAGAGAGCGATGGCTCCACTGAAGAGACAGATGAGTCCGAGATTTAAGGAGTCTGAAGGGTCCTGTCTACAACACCCTGTACCCAAACTCCTACTCCCATCCCACCCAATTCCTCCTGAGCATGTACCATGCTGCCCTCTGCTGGCGGACAGGCCAAATAACAGCCTCAGTCCAAGACCTGCCAGGGATTCTGATATCAGCCAACCCAAGCAGTGATTCAAGAAAGTTAGCTTACTTTCCCCGTCCAGGTGCCACACTAACAGCAGATTGAACTGAGGTCACCAGGAAGGGTCTTAGCCTCATAGAAGGTTCATCTTACAGCAACTCCAGGAAAGGAGAAGACCATGAATAGCCACACAGGGCCTTGCATGGTCAGGGGTGGCACAGGTGATGCAAGTATGATAGGACGGGATCACAGTGGCCTTCTACTGGAGAGAGCCACTAGCATAGCATGATGGGCAAAGGGTGGGCAAGACCATTTCACTTTCAAACACTGCTTCAAGCCTCCTGTGTCTATTAGCTAAACATGAAATGAATAAAGTCCCTTGTGTCTGCTAAGTGGTGAGTCTAAACTCACTAAACTGAAGGAGGGGGTGAAGGGAAGGGGTGAGTTTGGGGCTTTGGTGCCAGCATCTCAGCTTTCCCAGGAGGTGGCGGCCACAGGACACTCAGCCTGGAGACTTGCCTCAGATCATGAGCAGAGAGGCTTACCTCTTGCACATGACAGCCTTTCAAAGGAAAAGTACTCATAGCCGGAATGGGTCTCCAGGAAACAAGCTCTGAGGGGGCCAAGGCCAAGTTCCCATAAGGTTCAAGGCCCTGACCACCAAGGGTCAGCACTGCAGAGCCTTTTAGCCAGTTTCATTAAACATTTGCCAAGCACCTGCTCAGGATTAGGGCAATGGGGATGCAGCTGTGAGCACAGGCTAAGGAGTACAACCCTACAGAGTTAGGGAAATGGGAATGCAGCTGTGGGCACAGGCCGAGGAGTACAACCCTACAGCCAAGGCTGAAGGGCAGGGGTCCTCCAGAAAGCAAAACCCACCTAGGGACCTGAGCAGAGCAGGATGCCTCCTCTGAAACGAAGCCAAAGGTCCCACCACTGGGCACACCCTTTTCCTGAGCACATACTGGGATTACAGGAACTGGCCCCTGAAGCCCGGTAGGGCCAGGCCAGGACTAGAGGTTCCAAAGCTACTGAAGCTCCAGGGCCCTGAGAGCTCTCCAGGCCCACAACCATATCCGGCCTCCAACTAGTTAAAAGCAGCTGGAAAGTCCTGTGTGCATGGGTATCACCTGGGGAGTTTGTTAAAATGCAAATTACTCAACTCCAGCTTGGGATGCGGCACAAAGTTTCTGATTATGAACACTCCAGACCTATGGTCGGCAAACTGTGGCTCTTTGGCCTCTTGAGTGTGACTCTTCCACAAACCACCACGGCCTAGACGAGTCTGTTTTGTAGAAGTGGCATTAGAATAAGTTTGTTTAAAAATTTTGGCTCTCAAAAGAAATTTCAGTCGTTGTACTGTTGATATTTTTGGCTCTGTTGACTATTGAGTTTGCCAACCATTGCTCCAGACCATTCCAAGGCTCAAAGTCCCGGATCCGTGCTCTGGAAATCACTGGCTTAGGAGAGATCCCATGGCTCCCTCCATCCATCCTTTCTAACAGTCCATCTTTCCAAACTGGTGGTTTAACTGTACTCTGGGGACCCCTAAGGTGGTAGAGATGTTCTGAGAGCCCCTATAGAGGAAAAGTGTTACTAAGCCAGGGGTTTATACACACACATCTTTCTTCCTGGATTTAAAAGGATTCCATTAAGGTTTGTATATTTTATTAAACTCCATTGAGAAACACCTCGAGCCTGTTGGGATGAGATGCAAGGCTGCTGAGGTTGCTCGCCTGCCCCAGCCTTGGGGCCAACTAACATCAGCTCTTTCCTCCGCGTGCAACAGGGTGGTGAGGTCGAGGCTGCACCGGACCTCGAGGCAGCACAGGGCCGAGAAGCCAGGGGACTTTGGCTTTCAGAGAAGAGACAAGCTGGAGGCCCTGGAGAAAGTGCCCTCAGCTTCGGCACGGACGCCCTACCCATATCGGTGGGAGCCCAAACAGTGAGGCGAGGGGCCTACACTGGGCAGGGAGGCAGGATCCAGCGAGGACACCACTTCACTCAGACCAACAGGGGTCCAGGGCCCTGCTGGGGCTTTATTTGACACCACTATGTTTCAATACAAACAGTCCAGAAAGAAACTCAAGTCCCTTTGGGGGAAGAAGGTGGTGGGAAGAGTGGTCTGTGTTGCTTGGGAGCCTTACCCTCAACCCACAGGGTGTGGGCCGGGCCTACATTGCCAGAATGGCAAGGGAAGATGGCACCAAGAATGATACAGTGCATGGTCCAGTGACCAGGGGGTGAGGCTTGCAGCTCTGTAGGCACCTCGGGCTCTCACTGGTGGGGTGCTGTCCAGGCCCCCCTAAGGCCAGGATGATGCAGAGGAAAAAAGCTGAGCCCCAGCAGCCTGCTTCTATCCCTCAAGTCCTCTGCATCCAAAGCAGGACTCCACAGGGCAGGCGAGACTTGCCATGGCCACCAAGCGGGGGGAAGAACAGTCTCGAGGGGTCCTGTAGTCCACACGGACACAATAAAGGACTCGGAGATGCCCAGGAAAGTAACCTTCCAAATGACCCCTGTAGAAAGGGGTGGTGAGACAGATCATCACTCTGGCCTCCAGTCTGATCCCAAGTGAAACCTCTGGGTACCAGGTAAAGTTTCTAGCCCTTAGTAAGGCCCAGATGAAGGTCCTTTGCCTCCCTTGCCCTCTCCTGGGGCCCAAAAGAGGCCAATGCAGCAGCACAGCAGCAGCAAGTCCAGAGCCCCCCCGCTCTGGGGCTGGTCTGTAGCAGAACTCTTCCTAGACCTCCCCACCGGTTCCAGAGGTTAGGGACCAAACCCCCGGGCAACCTGGGAATTCTAGAGCCAGTCAAAAAGCCTTCAACTTTTCACTTTCCCATCAGAGAAGGGCTGGGCCCAGAATAAGCCATCCTGAGGAGATGCCCTCCCTCACTCCAGGTGTGGCAGACAAGTGAGCAGCAGCTGTGGGAGCAGGACTGGAAGGACAATAATCTAGCACACAGGAGAGGGTTTGAGGGAGGAGGAAAAGGACTCCATCTCTAGGCAGAGGCCGAGGGCTGGTCCTGCCCATTCCCTCCCAGTGCTCCTCAAAGGCCACCCACTCACACACCACACATAAAGTAACAATTCCTCCCCAACTCCACAAGGCAAGCAGCCCTGGCCTGGGAATCATGGGATTTTTGCTGCTGTCACCACCAATGCCTGAGCCATGGAGCTTGGATCAGTAGGAACCATAGCGATCCTGGAAATGAGGGAAGAAAAAATGAAGTCAGCACCTCCAACCCAGCATGCACACCCTCCCCCAGCACACCCTACAGGACTGGGATTTGGGGCATGGGCGAAATGGGCACCAATCTCCATGGCCAAGACTGTTTTATATTTTGTGACTCGGGAAAGGGGTTGTGGCCAGATACCAAGGGGGAAGCCCTGCCCAATCTCATAGGAGCTGAGAGGGAGGAAGAGTAGTACAGGTGTAAGGCTGGGGGGAAATCAGTGCAGACAGTGTACATAGGGAGAGCTCAAAGCAAGGAAGCTGCCCTCCAGGAAAAGGAAAAGCTCTCCCTCAGGCTGCGGGGCTCCCGGTGGCAGTGTCTGGATGTGGTGAAGGCCAGCCTCCAGCACTACTCTTCAGGCCTCACCTGCAAAGAATTCATCACACCATTGGCCAGCACAGCCATCTTCCCGGCCACAGACTTGACACCCTGCTTAAACTGGGCAATGTCAGCTGTAGGGAGCACATTCCCCAGAGATACGCTGCCTGTAAAAGCAAGGAAAGGGGTGACCCAGAGGCCTGCAGGAAGCCCTGCCCCTTGGGTCTTCCTCCTCTATTCACAGGCCCACTTGGTACCCACACCTCCGGTCCCTACCTGTTCCATGAGCTCCATCCATGTCCCCAAAGAGGTCTGAAGAGCTGATGGCACTACTGCCTGAGAGCTGCTGTAGCCGAGACCTGGCTTCATACTGTGGTGAAGAAAAGGCTGGGGATCTTTGTGCCGATGTCCCAAGAACTCATACAGGCAGCCACCCTAGTGCTAAAGCCCAAACTAGTGACAGGGAGGAAAGTCTTGCTGCTTCCCGCTGCCTCTAGCCTCAGGGTGGACAACTCTACTCACCTCAGTATCCACTTCCCGCCCAAAGAACATGTCAGATGAGATGGCTTTGGCTCCTGCGAATTTCTGACGTGCTTCACTGGATTCGAGGCCCGAACTCCGGCTCTCCACTTCCTTCCGGTTTGTGACTCTGAGAGTGGATGTGGAACACCATCTCTGACCCTTCCCATTACTGTTTGGGGATAATGTTACTACCCCATTACAATCAGAGGCAAATCTGGGGATGCTTACTGACTGGCTCTGGAACTGAGGGACTCTCTCCCCTGGATAAGGCCGTCCCCTCTCCACACTGAAGCCAAGGCACGGAGAGCTGCTCTTACCTCCACTAGCTGACACGGAAATGTGGTTTGGAGGGGACAATGCTTCTGCCCCAACCACGGCAGCTTCATCAAGTGCTAGGGTGTCATAATGTCACTACTGCCACTCTACTCCTAGGTACAACTGGCCCAACGCTGGTGACCATGTTTCGGTTTGCCTGGGTTTATACTATTAATAGCACCCCCTCTTACTCTCAAAAAGCATCCCAGCGTGGATGACAAGGTATATGGTCGCTTCTACTCAGCAGTGACATGCACAGATGCTGGATAGGTGTTTCAAGTTTCATTATATTTAATCCTTCCAGCAGTCCTGTGAAGTCATTACTTATGTCCCCGTTTAACAAAGAGATGACTTGCAGATAATTTATCAAATTAAACATAAGGCCCAGATTACAATGGAATACACTTTTAAGAAAATAAAATAAGATGGGTGCCAAGGACACATAACACTTGGGAGGTCAGGATTCCAGAGAAATGATCGTGGACAAGAGTTTGCTCAACCTTCTGTGACGATAAGCCTAGCTCAAACCAAAAGCCCATTCCTACACAGTCTGACTCGTAGCCACTAGCCACATGTAACTATTTAAACTTAAATTAAATGTAAAATGTAGCTCCCTCGTGACAGTAGCCACATTTTAAGGGCTCAGTAGCCACGTGCCTAGTGACTACAACATCGGACAGTACAGGTACAGAACTCCATCACACAAAGTCCTAGTGGACAGTGCTGCCCTAGACCACTCACCTTTCTGAAACAGGCCGGATGCTTGAGATGGTCACTTCTGGCTCCTTCTCCTCCATCTTGTCCATGCCCCAGGTAGCATCTGTATCCCAACGGGAAGCAAAACTTTCCCCCAAGGAAAAGGGGTTGTCCTTGTACCTAGGGAGACAGGAGAGTGACTCAGAGAACCTGATGAGAATAGAATGGCCAAGTCTTCACCCCCACAAGTCTTACTTTGGGGGTCCAGAGGCGAAAGTACCAACATCGTCAAATAAGTCCAACTGTGAGCGGGAGGATTTTGCACTCACTGGAGTTTCCTGCTCAATCACCTGCATCTCAGACAGCACTGAGTGGGAGACGGAGCTGCGGAGGAAAACAGAGCTGCGCGTGAGAGCAGTGGCGAACACTCATGTCACTGCCCAAAGGACCCAAGCTGTTGGCATAAGCGTGGGTTCTCCTTCACACCCAGAACCTTCTCCCACTACCTGTGTATAGAACTGTGCTGAAAGGGAGAGCACACCCTTGACTTTCTACATCTGCTTTGTTTTCTCAGAATAAGTTTTCCCTGCCAAACAACCCTTTACCCATAATAACTAATAATGTGCACCAAGTGACAGAATTATGCACACAAAAGCAAATGCCCCAGAACCAGGGAAATGAGCCTGATGGTATCAAAGGATGAGTCCTTAATTATCCCACCTGTTTTCTTAAGAGGAATACAGAGCCGGGCCCCATGCTCTAAGACCTGGGTCTGCTGTCCAGTGAGAAGAGGCAGAGCTGAGCAGGCAGTACCAACTCTTCATGCCTCACTTTCTTCCTGTGTTCTGCTCCACACAGGCGTTTTAGGGATTAATTTCATTCAAATAAAGTCACAAAAAATATCTATATGGAGTGAATATTTTGCAATAGGGCTTTAAATAGGGTGGGCTGGCTTTAAAGAAGATTCTCTTACACTACAAAGAGGGGGAAAGAACTGAAAAATTGTTCACATCCTTTAACCCAGTAATTCCTGGGACCAAAACAGGGCAGGGAAGGAGATCTAACGTTCTTTTTGGGATTAAAATTTTGTTTCCCTGATTAGCTGTTACACGAGTAGCACACAGACTGAAAGGGAATAGCTGAAATCCAACCAGCATGGAAACCGACCAGCACATGTTCTGACAAATCTTCTTCCAGAGAAGTAGAGCATGATGGCCAAATAGGCTGAATTTGGAACCAAATAGTTGTGTGTTCACAACCTATCTGTGTAGATTTGTGGGCTTCAGACAAGTTTTCTCATCTGTAAAACGGGGTCACAATACCTTCTGCATAGGACTGCTATGTTTAAATACATAAGGTCAACGGCGGAGCTCACACCCCGTTGAAGGAGCAGCCACCACTCGGCACAAGCTAACTGTAGACAGGATTGCTGGCCCCAGCACTGTCGACTTTCCGAGTTTTTTTTAAGAGATAAAAAAAAAAACTAGTATCACTGAAATCTCTAGATATTCTCTCTTAGTGGAGAGCAAACAAAATGCATACCAAAACTGGTTTGCAGCCCTTGTTTTTAAGAAATCACAGCAACACAACATCCCGAAACAGAAAACTTACTGTCCAACCTGAGGACATTTGAGTGTCTGGGGTTATTTCGAGGTGTCGGTGTCTGGCAGCACCACTGGCCTAGTGGGCAAGGATTAGGGATGCTAAAAGCCCTGCAATTCTCAGAGAGTTCTTGAAAAATAAAGAATTGCCCCTCCTCTCCCCTACAAAGTGCCATCAGCACTCCCATTAAGAAACATGGGGAAAAAGAAGAGAAAACAAACAAAAAACACTGTCCTAGTCTCTTGAATCTATTGAAAGAGCATCTGATTCTGAGTTTCATTCATTCAACAAATAGTGAGCGCATACCTACTGTGTCTCAAGCACTATAGTAGGTGCTTTAAGATAATAAACAGAACTATCTATTCAGCCTCAAAGGAAGACTAAGCCTAGAACCCCAAACTGCTGGGAAGAACCTGCAGAGATCCCCAGGAGAACAATGGTATTTCTATGCCACACCCCAGAGCTGAGTCTCACCTTCGGGACACCAAGCCCATGCCCAACCTCTCTGCCTGCTCTCGCTTCTTCCCTTCCAGATTCTGTAGCTTCTTCTCTTCTTTCTTGCGGTCAATCTGGAGCTCCTGGTAGGCCAGACGCATGGAGGCAACCCTTGGAGGGAATAAACATGTCAGAGGCCAGCACCCATCCTGACCTGTCCTACCTGCCCATCCAAAGCCACAGGAAAAAGGGGCCCTCTGGCAAACACTCACATAGACTCCTCGGCCTCCTTCTTGGCATCAGCCACCTGCTGCTCACGGAGCTTCTCTGCCACCTGGGCCTGCCGTTCAATCTCGCTGAAGCTCTGGCTGCTCACCTTCTGGGCCCCGAGGCCTTTCTTGGCACCCAGCTGGGGAGAGAATCATGTGACGGGGGCCTTGCCAACCACAATGTCCCCTGCTCCCTCCCAGGCACTCTAGCACACCCACACAGTTCCTTTTTAAAGTCCAGGGTAAAAATAGAGGAGTCCAGTCAGCATGGCTGAGAGGGAGAACAGGGGCTCTGCTAGAGCTGGGCATGAGGTGGCTCACACAGTCCCAGCAGAGGCCTCAGGGTCTGATGACCGGCAGCTAATGTTTACCAGACCAGCATGTCCCAGGCACACTATGTGCACAATCTTGGCTCCTCCAGGAGTCCCTTGAAGATAGGCATCTTAACAGCCCTTGCACAGATAAGGTTCTGAGAAGTTGTGTACCTTTGCCAAAGTCACATAGCCAATGACTAGTAGGGCCAAGGGGTGAACCCAGGAAGTATGACTCTGGCTCCTGACCACTCTCCCATACTGCCTCTCCCCACTTACCCCTTTCTTAGTGGCTGCTGGCTTCTTCTTGCCAATGAGGGAGGTTTTCATTTCTGCATGAAAAAGAAGGTGAGACATGAGTAAAGACAAAGGGAGGTCAGAGGCAGCAGCTCAGTCCACACCATGCAGTTTCCTGGCAAGAGCTTCTAGAAAGAATAGCTTCAGGCAGGGGAAGGCAAAGCTGTCACCACCAGGTCCAATTAATGGTGTTAGCATAGTCTAAGCCAAAGACAGACAAGAGTAAGGGGTTCCCAGCAGATTGAAACAACACCTAGACCTGAAGCAGCAAGAGACAAAGTCCCTAAACAAATATGAGGACCACTAGGCAGGGGCAGATGCCAAACATCAGCCTCAGTTCCTAAAGCAGGGAGCTGCGTGCAAGGGGCCAGGCTCCCAAAGTGCTGTTGGTTACCTCTGGCAGGAAGGGCCCCTTTAGGTGACAGATACATGGACTCTGGAGAGAAACAGACTGTGGCTAACAAGGGACCCACCCCAGAGCCTCCATGTAGTTCCCAAGCCCAGAGGCCTCTACAGAGCCTTGCTTTAGCCCACGTCAGGCCAGCCTTCTCACGGGATCACTCTGACAGTCATTCTGCTGGCTTCCTGCCCCAACCCCCAAAGGTCAACAGAACAAACTGAGGTCAGCAAATGGACTGTTCACCCTGAACCAAAAGGGCACTAAAGAAAGAGTAGAAAAGAGCTGAAAAGCCTCCCTGGCTAAGAAAGGACAATGTCACCTCCAGTCTTGAGCAGCTCAGAGCTGTCCCCCATGAAATGAACCAGAAGACCAACCCTATCTCAGACCTCAGGGTTAGATGTCCAGTCTCATGCTGGCCTTTCCACACTTTGGCTAGAACCAGCCCCACCCACACCCAGAGGCCAAGCCAGGCCTGACACACCAGCTCACCCAGGTTCATCAATTCAAAGGCCTGGTTCTCAAGCCCTTGCAGTTGATGTTGAAGCCATGAATTCAACACGAGTCCCAGTCCAGAGAGTTAAGATGCTCAGTGTCCTGGGGCCTCAGTCCATATGACTAGGCAGCAGCAGATCTGAAAAGAGCCTTTCCCAGTTACCCCGCCCTGCCAGCTGTCATACTGACCCAGAGCAGCTTTGGGTGAGGTGCCAAGCAGGTCTGTGTTGGGGCCATGCTCCGGCTCTGTAGATGCAAAGATGGGAGTTAGGTATAAGGCTCAAAGCTTCCTGTGACTTCCCCTTTAGGGAGATGATGGAACAAGAGTAGGAGGCACTGGCTTTCCTCAGCTGAGGCCACCAGAAGATAAAGGAATGCCCATCACTCTCTCCAAGGGATTAAAATGCATTCCAGCCCACCCAGAGATATAGGACACTCCCCTACTCCTAATCCCTTGACCAGTTTGCCAGGAAGGGCTCTTGGTTGGAATCTGGGCTGAACTCACGTGCCATTCCACTGCTTTCCGTAGACGGGGCTGGCTGCTGGGGCTCTGCTGGGTCAGTGGCTGGTACATCCCAGGCAGGAGGCTGAAAAGGAAGCCAGATCACAGACACCTCAATGAGCTTGCAGGGAGCACAAAGAACATACAAGTACCTTATGGATACAAGGACCTACTCCAAGCCCATGAGGAAAGGTGACCAACAGTGAGTACAATTATAGTTGCTGTTCACTACGGAAGAGAGAAGAAGGAAACTAGCAGCCACTTTCACCCCTCCACTATTTACTTAGTGAGCACTTATCAAGTATAACAGCTTTTCACATACAAAAACTTTAATTATTACAACAAACCCTATAAAGTATATACATCTCTACTGCAAAGACTGGGTTTTGACAGGCGAAGTGATTTAGCTACATCCGGGAAATGCCAAGTAGAGGAGCTGGGATTCAAACTGAGAGAGTCTAACATCAGCCCCAGTGCCAGCAGAGGGGGAACCTCCTCTCAGGGTGGGTTTCCAAGGAGATTCCTTTCATTGTTCCCAGCCACAAATGCCTCTCCTATAGGGGAAGAACCCAGGAAAAGTTGTTGGAGGCTCCCAACAGCTCTTAAGCCTTCAAGAAGCTTCTCCTTCTTCCTAACACCCGTTTACAGACAGGGTCCATTACTAAGGAGGGCCATTTGCACACCTACTCCTGGGCCTGCCTAGCAATGAGCCCCAGACATTCCTGTCTGAGGTATCACACCAAGGCGAATTGGATCCATGCCCAGGATCACAGAAGGCCTTGGCCAGTTAACCACCTGTCAGTAGCAATCATAGAAAACAGTCCTTGTGGGTACTCACTTGAGTGTGTTCCATGAAGAAATCGGAATCCTTCCTCTCCGGAGAGTGACTGGGAGCACTACTCATACTGTCTATCCAAAGCTAGAAAGGACAAAACACTCTTGAAACAGACCTCTGAATATTCCTACTCATCACACTACCCAGCCCCAGGACCAGGCACTTACATCGGTGCCATGCCTAGCCAGGGCTGCACTTCCCAGCTGCCGGATCTTTTCCCGGTACATCCGGGCAGCTCGGCTATCATACTTGGTGTTGGCATCACTGGCTGTGCACCCATGTTGGCGGAAGAAAGCTGTCTGGAGAATAAAGAAAGAGCATGCTACAAGTGATTCTCCCAGAGGGGGGAAAAAAAGGCAGTCACTTGTAACAGCCTAGTTACAGGATAATAATATACTCGTTATTATCCTGTGTAAATAACAGACGTAAGGTTCTTCAGAGAGGTAAGGATTCTCAGAAATTCCTGCAGAAAACAGCTTCCCAAACTGGGATGACTGACTGAAGCCCAGCCCTCACTCAACCCCACCTGAGGACAGCATGCCATACCCACTGTGCCCATCCTTCACCCACCCAGGCCAAGACTTAGATTACTGTGGAGGCCCCAACTCCCTTGGCCTTTCCCCAGGGACATCTGTCCGCTTTAGTTTTAATCAAGTCCCTATGAGAAGAACAGTGACCAACTTCCAAGTTCAGAGAACAATGTACAGTGCTGCCATGACCAGAGAATCCTCTGAACAGAGAAACGGAGAGGGCCTCCTAGGAGGCCATGGTAAACTTAGTCCCAGGCAGAAGGAGGGCAGAGAGGATGGTAAGGAGGAGCTTTACCGCATTGGCATTTCCGCCGACCTGCATACACCTCAGCTGGAACCAGTTCCAGTTGGAATCCAACTCTGTGGACCTGTGTGCAAGGGCTGCGTGTCACCCACCAGCAGACACCGGGAGCCACTTCCCTGGCGGACTCACACCTGACATTTGGCAGGTGCCCTGAAGCGTTAATCAGCCACCACCCGATTTCCTCAACTGTTCCCTGTCCATGAAAGCTTTGCTCTTCAGTCTCATAGTCAAGAGGGCATTAATTATTTCCCAAATCAGGGGGAGGTTGAACTCTCAGGCACTTAAGCTTGGATTTGGCTTTCTGCTTGAGGACGGCCAGTCTCACTTCAGACGTATTCGACCCATCTGTCAGCAACGAAAAGGTCAATGCAGCTAAATTTTCTCCAAACCTAACGTTCAGAGAGTCGAGTTTGACCGCCAGGAAAGAAGGGAGCTTGACCCAGACTCGGAAACGAACTGTCTATGTGGGAAGGGGTCACACAGGCGATTCCCTCCCGTGAGAGGCTCCCGGACCCCGGCCGGAAGGTTTCCGAACACCGATTTCAGGGCAGTCCAAGTCGCCACTCTGCCCTGCTGAGCACACAGCCCTGGCCGGGTAGGAACACAGCAGCCATAAGGAGACCCCACCTGATGAAGCTGAGATGGACACCCAGGGAGCGGTGCACGCCGGAGCAGTCAATGCACAAGAAAACACCGTACGTGATGCTGGCCCAACTCGGATTCTTGGCGCCACAGTCGAAACAGGCCTGGATGGGGGAGGCGAGGAGCGAATGATCAGACACCGCGAGCGGAGGCCGGGCACTGACACCCAGGAGAACTGCCCACGTCCGCCCCCCTTTCCTCCCCTCGGGCCCCAGGGGAGCCGGGAGAGTGCCCCTCGGCCAGCGCCAGACCCCGCGCCCTCCCGCTCAGGCACCTTGTTGGTCGGAATTGCGCGAAGCCTCTTAAAAAGGGTTTGGATTTCGGTCTTGGTCGGCTCGGACGCCATTTTCTCTCCTTCCCAGACGCCAGCGCGACTGACGGGCCCCGTCGCGGGCCAATCCGCGGCCGAGAAGGCGGGGCACGCGGTCGGCCTCCGATGAGCAAGGTGCCAGCGAGGGGTGGGGCGATCTGTCCTGAGCCGGGCCAATGAGCGCCGGCGGGACCGGCGCAGACACGTCAGAGCCCCGCCTCTTCACACCACGCCCAATCCGCGCCGCGCCCGCCGGGGCCAATCCGCAGCCGGGGCGGGGCGACGGCGCCCAGCAGGGCCGGCTGGCGGGGCGGGGCGGGGCGGAGCGCTCCCCTCAGAAGGTGGGGTCACCTCCCAGAGGGTGGAGCTTCGAGTCCGGGGATCCGGGCCTCGCTGGGGTCGGTTCCCGGTGGATGAGTAATAATTAACAGCCCTACCAAGCGCTCAAGGTGCCACCGGCCTGAAAGGGAGGACAAACTGGCTGGACCGCCCCCACCCAGCTCAGAGCTCAGCACCCAGCCTCTGGCTTTGACCACCTGCCCAACCCCGGTCCCCATAACATTCTGTAGACCCACGGACCTCCCCTCAGTGCCTCTCCCCCGATGACTTCTGCAGCCTGGCAAGGGTGCAGTATCATAAAAGATGCAAAAAAAAAAAAAAAAAAAAAAAAAAAATAGTGCACACAAACCTGAAAACGCTTTTTTATTTTATTTTTTTCAAGTTTAATACACACTAGAACAAGCCACAAAAGATTGTTGCTAGCTCAGAACAACACTCACCTCAAGCCCACCCCAGGAACCCCAAAACACAGAGACCAGGAATTCGGCCCATGGCTCCTGGGGAAACCAAACACTCCTGGGGAGGCCTAGGTACCCTTCTATGACCTCCTAACCTCCCATTTACCCACAGGCTAGACTCAGTCAGCCCCTCCCCTCCCTGACCCCCCAGGACTTCCTCCCTCCTCAAGGGACAGAGGGACAGCAGGGGCACTGGTGCAGGGCCCTCGGGTCCAGCTGTCCAGAAGCTGGGCTCTGGCTCAGGATGGAGAAACATTGCAGAAGGGCTGCCAGGGCTGTCAGGCCCCCACACACTCCACATAATTGGCAGGATACAGGCCAATGCGGCCACTCTGCAGCTGGCCCTGGCACCAGCCCTGCTCGTCCTCCTCGCTCATCTTCAGCAGCTCCTCCCCTAGGGGAAAGGGGGTTGGTCATTACCAACTGCCCTGGCCCAGCCCCGTTCCTGCAATTGGGTCAAGGACTGAGGGGAGCAGGCAGTAACCCAGAGAATCCAGCTAGGGGAAGAGACCTGGCTCAGGCAGAGGGAAGTCCAAGTCAACAAGCCACCCCACCGGAGACCCTGAATGCAGCCATCAGACCCCAACTGGAGGTTTTGAGAGGCAGACACTCTGACTCCTGCAGACTGGAACCAGAGCAACCCTAAGAGTCAGAGAACTGACCCTAAAGAAGTAGGTGTCTGGCTTCCCTTTGCCACCCCCCTGTTCAAGACAATACATGGGGGAGGGGAGGCTGAAGCCCGGAAAGGAACAGGAAAGGGGTCCCAGGGTACCTGCTCGGAAGCTTAGCTCATCAGCTTCCTGGCCAGCGTAGTCATAGAGCGCCCGCACCCGCACCCCAGTGGCAGTCTTCCGGGAACTCTCCTCATCCGACCACTCCTCATCCTGCCCACTGCTGGAGAGGGGAGGCAGAGGGGGCAGGCTCAGGGCACAAGGAACACCTTGACTGAGAGGGCCTGGGACCCACGGTCAAGGGCCCAGCCCCTGGAGGAGCCCTGGGAGAGGCAGGTGGGGAAGAACTGAAGGAGTCTAGGCTGACCTCTGCCACACCTGCCTGTGAGCTCCGGTGCCGTCCTGCCACACGGGGCTGACATGAGCAGTACGTGAGAGGGAACGTGGGAAACGCCTGGCAAACCTAAACCACCGTGAAAACTGGCATCATAGTCACTCGGTAGGTCCTAGGTCCCTGACACTCCATTTCCTTTGTTTTGTTAACCCTCACCTGAGGATGTTTTTCCATTGATTTTTAGAGAGTGGGAGAGAGAGGGGAAGACATTGAGAAACATCGATTGATTGTCTCCTGCACAAGCCCTGACAAGGGCCCTGGGCCGGGGAGGAACCTGCAACCAAGGTACATGCCCTGCCCTTATCAGGAATCGAACCTAGGACCCTTTGGTCCATAGGCCAGCGCTCTATCCACTGAGCCAAACTGGCGATGGCCCTGATACCCATGTTCAACCCACTTCAGGTGTGAAGGGAATGAAGGAAAGGAGGGCAGGGCAGGGCAGGGGCCAGAGCTGAACAACCAAGTTCCTGGCTCTCACCCACCGTGGAGATCCGGGGGACTGAGGTGGGGACACAGCGCCATCTCTTGTGGGCCCGATGCTGGTCAGAGTAACCTCATCAGGGCTCCGGCCGCCCTTCTCCTTCCGGTTTATTGTCCTCTGTGTGTCCAAGGACCACTCCTGTGGGGGTCAGTGCGTAGGCTCAGGCTGTGGTGGCATCCAGGGCCATCCAAATCACCCTCACCTCTTCATCCCAGGTCCTAGCCTCCCTCCTGAGGCCTAGGCCGAGCCCAGTGGGAGCCCATCCCATCCCCCAGCCCCACCTGGAACACGTACCTCAAACTGTGGCCAGTGCATGGCCATGCCCGGCCCGTGGGTGCTGCGCCACCAGCGCAGATCCTGCTCATCGCTGGCTGCCTCGATACCCTGATGCAGGTCTCTGTGGAGCTCATGGAACCTGTGGCCCGAGGCACAACCCTCAAACTAGGAAGCGTTGGGCCCTTGCACCTGCTTAATTCCTTTCAGCCCCGCCAGAGCCCAAGGGAGTGGAAGAGTCCCAGCAGCTCCCCCAGATCTCCACGCCCACGCAGGCCCTACCTCTCACTGCTGGAGAGGTCGAGGTGCTGGTGTAAGGTGAGCAGCATATCCTTGAAGAAGAGGAGCCGCTGGCGCTCAGCGGCCTGGCAGGTCTCGAAGGCCTGCTCCATGTCTTCCATGTAGCGTGGGGTGTAGCGGTGCAGCTCTGCCAGCGTCTGCTCATACTGGGTTTTTGTCTGGGCGGGAGTGGAGGGGACCTGGTCAGCCCGAGGCCTCCTTCCATGCATGATTCCGCTAGTGTTTACTGAGTACCTGCCATTGGCAAGACCCGGGGGCTAGGCACCAGGGGCAGCCAGTCACAAGATCTGGCTCCTGCCCCTCGCAGCCTAATAAGAGAGGTGACATTTGGGCACAGCAGCTTTTAGAGTCTGGTGAGTGGAGAGTAAGATGAGATGGAGAGTGAAGAGTGAGATGAGGTCCACCCATCAGGAGTGGACGAAATCAGGGGAGGCTTTGCGGAGGAGGTGGGAAGCCGAGCAGCACCTCAGGGGGGTGGGAAGGTTTGAATATGCAGAGCTAGAGGAAAGGGCACTCTGGTCAAAGCAACCAATATGAAAGGTGGTCCCAGGTGGAACCCTGGGAAAGGAAAGGAGCCGGATGGGAAGGTCTCAACTGCTAAAATCATCCCAATGCCTGAACTTGCACCGTTTCTTTCCCTGGGGAAAGCATCGTCTTTTCTCAGGTTCCTCCTTGAAATGGTCATCTGGAGAGAGGATGCAGGTGAGGGTGAGAGCTGGAAGAGTGCCGGGGGCGCTGGGAAAGGCATTCAGGGAGCCCTGAGCCGGGCCAGCCCGGCCCGTGGCGGTACCTTCTCGGCCTCCTTGGTGCAGCGGTCCAGCCGCACCTGCAGCTTGCGCAGCTGGTCCTGGGAGACCGTGCTGTCCGCCTTCGCGTGGCTCTCCCGGGTCTGGGCTGTCTTCTCCTCCTTCCGGGCTCCGTGGTAACTCTTCTTGGAAGCCTCCACCTGGCACACACAGGGACAGTTCTGGGCCCAGCACACCACACCCTGGGCCTGAGGACTTAAAGGGGCATCCCTCCCAGGCTCACCTCCTTCAGCCTCTTCAGCCAGGGCTTCTGGGCCTTGCGGAAGCTGTCCTCGGCAGCCCGGCTCTCTCGGAAGCCCCCCAGCACCGGCCGGTGGAAGGCCCCCCGCTGCCAGGCACGCACCCGCTCACTGTCCGGCCCGTGAAGCTTCTCCCGAACCTCCAGGTGCAGCGCACTCAGCCGCTCAGCAGCCGTGAAGAAGGCGTGCCAGGCCTTCTCCAGCGTGCCGTACTGGGGGCCTGCGGGGAGGCGTGGGACTGGGGCCAGGCCAGGAAAGCCACCAGAAACGAGCCCGCCCCCTCCCCCTGGGTGCTATGCCAGGTGCCAAGCACACAGTGGGGATGCAAAGAAGAACAACGATGCCAGCTGCTGCTTACTGAGTACCCACTCTGCCCTGACATACCAGACCTCACTAAACCAGTGGTCCTCAACCTGCCTAATGCCGCGACCCTTTAATACAGTTCCTCGTGTTGTGATGACCCCCAACCATAAAATTATTTTCGTTGCTACTTCATAACTGTAATTTTGCTATGGTTATGAATCGTAAAATGTCTGTGTTTTCCGATGGTCTTAGGCTAAGATGATCAGACGTCCCGATTTTTAACCATTTGTCCCGTGTCCCGCAGTGTTTTAAAAAAAGTCCCGATTTTTGGAAAGATTTTTGGACTTTTTTTTTTTTTTTAATATATTTTATTGATTTTTTACAGAGGAAGGGAGAGAGATAGAGCGCTAGAAACATCGATGAGAGAGAAACATCGACCAGCCGCCTCCTGCACACCCCCCACTGGCGATGTGCCCGCAACCGTACATGCCCTTGACCAGAATCAAACCTGGGACCCTTCAGTCCGCAGACCGACGCTCTACCACTGAGCCAAACCGGTTTCAGCAGATTTTTGGACTTTTTTAAAACGCCACAGGATGGGGACAAATTGTTAAAAATCGGGACTGTCCCGCCATAAGCGGGATGTCTGGTCACCTTATCTTAGGCTCTACGTTAGCGGTCCTCAACCTGTGGGTCGCTAGCAGGGTCGCCTAAGACCATCGGAAAACACAGAGATTTACATTATGATTCCTAACAGTAGCAAAATTACAGTTATGAGGTAGCAACGAAAATAGTTTTATGGTTGGGGGTCACCACAACATGAGGAACTATATTAAAGGGTCGCGGGATTAAAAAGGTTGAGAACCACTGCACTAAGCCCTTGCCTCGCCTACCACCATGAAGACATTGTCATGATCAACAGTTAACAAGTGAAAAAACGGCAGCCCACATGAGTGAATTACTGCCCAGAGCATGGCAGCTGTGAGTGGAACTGAGATTCAGATCTAGGCCTGTGGCATAAACCTCTACACTCTGTTGCCTCAAAAGAAGGAGCCAGCATCTGTTCCCAAGAAAGGCAGATAGTTAGGGTGAAAAGGTCCATATCAGAAGGCCTGGCTCCAGCTTAAGCTATTCCTAGGTGTGTGGCTTCAGGCAAGTCTTAGCTTCTCTGGACTTCTGAATGTCCTCTAGAAAATGTGCAGGTCAGGACTGTCTCCATCCTAGGGTTGTTAGAAATATCAAAATAACTCGTGACTGTTATTTTGCAAAGTCTAACATCACTACCATGAGTACCAGGAGGATCTTTCCTTTAACGGGAAGGCAGACATGAGAACCTCAACCTTCCACCATCAGGTGCAAAAAGAAGCTACCCCAGCCCTAGCTGGTGAGCTCAATGGTTAGAGCGCCTGCCTTGGCACTAGAGTGTCTCGGGTTCGATTCCCTGACAAAGGCACATACCTGGGTTGCAGGTCTGTTCCCCACCCTCTCCCCATCCAATCGAGGTGTATGGGAGGCAACCAATCGACGTTTCTCTCTCTCTCTCTCTCTCTCTCTCTCTCTCTCTCTCGCTCTCGCTCTCGCTCTCTCTCTCACTCGTTCTCTTGCTCTCGCTCTTGCTCTCGCTTTCGCTCTCTTTCTTTCCCTCTCCCATACACTCTCTCTAAAAACCAATGGAAAAATATCCTCATGTCTTGGTTGAGGATTTTATTTTTATTTTTTTTAAATATATTTTATTGATTTTTTACAGAGAGGAAGAGAGAGGGATAGAGAGTTAGAAACATCAATTAGAGAGAATCATCGATCAGCTGCCTCTTGCACACCCCCTACTGGGGATGTGCCCGCAACCAAGGTACATGTCCTTGACCGGAATCGAACCTGGGACCTTTCAGTCCGCAGGCCGATGCTCTATCCACTGAGCCAAACCGGTTTCGACTGGTTGAGGATTTTAAAAAGAAGCAGCTGCCCTGCCTGATCTCCCTGCATCGGTAGCGCTCTGCGAGGCCCATAGGCCGGCTCACCCTTCTCCACGGTACCCCTCCACTTCCGGGCCCAGTCAGCCAGCTGCTGGGCGTAGGCCTTCTCGATGCGGGCCCGCTCCTGGAAGCAGCTGACCAGGTCCCCGCACAGCCGGTGCCCGTCTTCCACCCGTTGCACTGTCCGCCTGTAGTTGCCAGCCTGGGGTGCACATGGAAAGGGCGGAGTGGCCAGGGAGAAGCCCCCTCGGAGCTGGTGCTGCAGCTAGACAGGTGGCCTGGCCCAGAGGGGTGGGCATTACAGTGCCACCCCCAAACCATCTGCTCACCTCCCAGAAACTGCCCTCCACGGCCTCCCCTCCAGTGCCTTCCTCTGGAGCCATGGTGTCCCCGCAGCATGGAATGGTGGCAGGCTGGGGCTGTGGAGCACAGAGATAAGCAGGGAAGCTGGACACGTGCTTTTGGGGATAGGAAGAGGCCCTCTCCTGTCCCTGGGCTTCACCCCCACTGCCATCCCACCACCCAAGGAGCTGTTGTAACTAGGACTTAGCAGGCAGGGGGCTGGGAGTCCCCAAGAGGGCCCAGGACAGGGGCAAAGATGGCAGTTTCAAAGCTGCTTCTTTTACCCTGGGTCTGCCCTCCCCCGCCTCATCCCATGTACCTGGAGCCTAGAGATCACTTCAGGGTCCTGGCTGTCCAACTCTCAAAGCTGCCACTGCGACTCTGCCTTGAAGCTAACGAGAGCAAAGCAGGGGGTGAGGGCGGGGACCCAGACTGTCCAGGGCGGTGCCCAGTTCCCCCAATATAGCAACTGCTGTCAGAAGAGCCAGATTCCAGCCAGGAGAATGCCAGGCAGGTCATATGACCCAGCTGGGGATTAGATGGCAGGCGGGCGTGGGTGGTGGGCAGAGGGCCCCACCACCCTGCCTGCAGAGCAGAAAGACACCTGCCCCAGCCGGGGTCCTGCTGCCTTTCCTTGAACAACCCTTTTCCAAAGGAGGCCACTCTTCCCTGCGCTGGGAAGGGCTGAGAGCTCAGAGGCCCGAGTCCTATCTTGGCCAAGAAGCTTGATCAACTGCATTTTCCTGTCCCCTCGTAAGGGAGCCTCAGATCTCTCCTCAGATGGATAGTCTGCCCCCTGGTCTGATCCTGTGCCACGGCTGGTATAACACTCAAACCAAGCAATGAACAGCAGTGTGAGGGGCCTGACAGTCACAAAGAGACACTCATCCTGGTCACAGCACCTGAGGTCCCACCGGGCTCTGTGGGGAATGAGCAGCTCAACCCCACCCTCAGAAAGCTCCGAGTCTGAGGCAGCATGAGGGAGTCAGACAGGTGACTGGCCAGTCCTAGAGTATTCTCCAGAATCACAGAGCAGGGCTAGGCAGATTCCAACCCACATCCACCACCCTGGGGGCTAAAGGACACAGCGGCAAGTGGCCACACCCTCCCTGCCTCGGCGCAGGGTCTCAGCTGTCCGCAGCTGCGACTCGGGGCTCCCAGAAGGAAATCGCATCCTCCTTTGAGCAAGCCCGGGGGACTGACTCCGCCAGGCCAACTGAGGACACAATGTGCCTGTTGCCCCCAAGCAAGGCTCGGTTGCAGTACCCCCTCCACCTGGATGGACCTTTACCCGTTCCCCCAAATCCAAATCGAGGCATCTTATCCACAGCTCCACTCGCCATCCCCATTCCCACAGCCCCTCTGACCCCGCAGTCAGGGTATAAATCCCACAGGATCTGTCCGCAGTCATTGACAGACTTCCTGAGGGTCCAATTTGGATTCCTCCGGACACTGGAGCTAGTAGTTGAATGAAAACACAAATGTCATTCCCCTGAAGACCAGGAAGCCCACGGCTACCGCAGCTGTGGGAAAGGTCGGCCTGTGTGGGCTTTCACCCCTAAGCTAACGGGAGGGCTCAGGCCTGCAGTGGAGGTGCCTGGGCACAGAGCAGAGCGGCTAACCCCACCGGGCTCCTCAGCACTTCACCTTGCTTCCTCTTGCATCTGTCCAGCCAGAGAGAACCAGAGCTGCAGCTGTAAATCATCGGTCTGTGGTGCTGTCCCAGTCAGGCACCCTGGGGCCCCAGCCCCCTGCCTGCCCCAGCCTCCAGGCTCCCAGCTCCCTGGAGAGCTGCCCCCACCCATCCCCTCTCTGTGGCCCCAGAACAGAGCAAGCTGTGTGCAGGGCTGGCACTGCTCCCTCCCGCCTCCCAGAGCAAACACAAGACCAGCCCCAGGCACAGCCAGGCCCCACAGCCCAGGCTGGACCTAGCAGTAAGGGTGAGCCTGGCACCTAGGCCCCCATGGACGAGGGCCACCACCCTGTGCCTCCTGATCTCAGCAGAGACCCGAACAGTTCCCAGAACACTCGGCCACAGGCAAGAGCACAGAAAGTGGATAATGAAAAAGCCTCCCAGCCCAGGGAGTCAGCACCTACTGGACCCCGAGAAGTGGGCTGGGGCTTGGCAGGGTCTCCTCATAGCTGCCTGGGCCAAAGTAAGGAATCCTGGGGTTCAGGGAAGAACCCACTCTCCCTGCCTGAGGCTGGTTGGGTAACTCCCTTTCCCAGAAGCAGGGGGCAAGCCCTGGGAGGGAGCACTTCCATCCTGCCCTGCCCAGCCATCCTGTCCTGAGTCACAGGCTGCACCCAGGAGCCTCTTCTCCCGGCTGCCCCTCCCGGAGGGCCGGCGGCCCGGTGTGAAGGCACGGAGGGGGCGGCAGACTGGTCCAGGCAGGGACACCGAGGCTACAGCGGCTAGAACCAGCGGCCGGGGAGGCTGGGGAAGGGGGTGGCGCAGGGAGAGGGGAGGAGGCAGGGCCTGGGAGGGGCATAACAAAGGGGCACTTTGGGAAACCCGACCTGCCGGGCCCGAGGTACCGGCTCCCCGATGACGCACTCCAAACCCGGAGCTCCCACCCCAAACCTCGGAGCCCAGGGGCTGGCGGCCTCTGCGCTCTTCCCTGCGGACGGCGCCCTGCGGCCGGCCCCTCTTGCCAGCCGGGTGCCGCTCAACTCGGAGCCACGAAGCCCCGGCGGAGCTGCCAGGCCAGGCCCGGCCTCGGAGGTTCTACGACTCCTCGGCCAAACTTGCTGAACTCGGTCTCGGCGGGGGTGGGGCCGGCCGATCGCTGCCGAGGGGAGGGGGCCCCGCCGCGGATTGGAGACGGTAGCCCGGGCGGCGGCCCCAGGACCCGGAGCTCCGGGCAGAGGGCAAAAGGGTCGCCGGGGAGCGAAAGCCCGTTCTGGGGTTCCCCCCCGCTCCAGACCCGAAGCCCCCCCCCCCCCGGCCGGCCTGGGAGGTTGGTTTCAGGGTGCGCGCCGCCGCCGCAGAGGAGCCGCCCCCTAGGCTCCGCGGCAAGGCTTTCCCTCCCCGCACCGAGCGCGGCGGCCGGGGCTCCGGGGCGGGAGTGGGTCCCGCTGCAAACTCCAGGCGCGGGAGGGAGAGGAGAGCAGGCTCCCGCCGGCGCTCCCGCCGCCGCCGCCTCCCCGCGCCCCGCGCTCCGCACTCACCGCGTCCTCCCCGCGCGCTCCGGGGGCTGGGGTCCGGCCACGCTCCCGCAGGAGTCCTGCGGCTCCGGGCCCGGACCGCCGCCTCCCGGAGCGCCGCGGGCCCTCCCCCGGGAAGCCCGGCCCCCGGCCCCGCCCTCTCCTGCGGCCGCGGCTCCCAGCGGCTCCCGGGACGCGGGCCGTGAGTCGCGGCTCCCGCGTGGGAAGTGCCGGGGCCGACTGCCCAGCGGGGCGCCGAGCCGCTGCAGGGCGTCGGATCTCAGCTGTGCCCTCCCCGGCTTTTGCAGAGTCCCGGAGACCCGTGGGAGCGGGAAGGGATCGGCGCATGGACACCCTTTGGAGGGGGGCCTGGGGGCTACACTGCCTTACTTTTTTTTCTTTTTCGCAGATCGCAGACTTCTTAGAAGTTAGCTCCGACGTCGCTCACTACCGCCCCCCGGTAAGCAGGAGGCTATCCATTGTGCAGATGCAGAAACTGAGGTCGGAGACGGTCCGCGGCTCGCAGATCGGCAGCGGGGCGGGGCCGGGACTCCCGGCGGGGCCCGCCAATCAGCGGCGAACTCTGCAGCCCGGGACCCGCACGTGGTCGGGGTGGGCCAAAGAGCAAGAGCTCCTCCCCCTCCGTAGTCTTAGTCCCAGATTTTGTGTCGCTATTCACCGTTAAATCCCTTCGCCGCCTTTGCGGGTCTCCAGCGTGGGTGGATTTTTCCAGGTCCCCACGATGCCACCCCACCCTGCATAAATCCCTCCTTTCTCGCCCGCGTATCCCCACCCCGGCATTTTTTTTTTTTCTCGGAGCCTGCCCTCTGTTATTTATAGCCACTGGAGCGGCCCAAGAATGTTCCGAAGCTGACCTAATCGCCACCTGCTCGGCCTCCCCTCCCCTCCCGCTCGCTCGTGCGCTGGTGACCCGGCGGCCCTATCCACCGCCTGGCAAGCGAGAGGGGGCTCGGGCCGGTGAGGTCGGACGCCCGGGAGCCCCAAGGATCCAGGCGGCGCACATTCGCTCGGGGTCGGAGAGCCCAGTGTCTTCCCAGGAGTGCGCCCTCGGGGCGGGGGGCGGGGTAGGTGGAAGAGGACACAGAGCTCTGGGAAGTCCAGGGTCACGCGTTCTCTCTTCTTACGCACTCGATATGCAAACCCCCCTACACACACACACACACACACACACACACACACACACACACGCTCCCAGAGGGGTGTGGGTACGTGTGCACGAGATTTTTTATTTTTTAAAACTATATATTTTTTTATTGATTTTTCACAGAGAGGAAGAGAGAGGGATAGAGTTAGAAACATCGATGAGAGAGAATCATGGATCAGCTGCCTCTTGCACACCCCCTGCTGGGGATGTGCCCGCAACCAAGGTACATGCCCTTGATCGGAATCAAACCCGGGACCTTTCAATCCACAGGCCGACGCTCTATCCACTGAGCCAAACCGGTTTCAGCATGCGCAAGATTTTTAAATGGTAACTTTAAAACTAGCGAAATTATGTTTCTAATCCGGAATTACTGGCACGTTCTTTGTGCAGATAAATCCGTCCAATGAAAATAGAAAGGGCCCGAAGGGAATGAATGAATGAGGGTGATTGCAGGGGGTAATATGAGCTGCTGAGGGTGGACTTGCTTCGCAGTCCCAGGGAGAGGGTGAAACTGCCTCCCCGAGACCCCGTGAGGCACCCAAGACCTTTGGTCTGAGGCCTCAAGCCGCTTGGCAAAGGTACCGGAGTGGTGGACCCTTGCCTTGGCTCTCACATGGGTGTGTGCCCAGCAGGATGCACTTCTGAAATCAGGCTCAGCACCCACTCTCTGTTGAGTCTTGGACAAGTCCCCTTTCTCTATAAAACATGACAGGTGACTGGCTGACCTCC